TTAAAAGACGTTTTATTCAACCAGTTTGGACTGATCTAGCTCTTGTAAAGGTAGAATATAACCTGAAGAGTCTGGTATTTACGATAGTAGGAAAGTCAACCATTTTATCTGCATCTTTAGTGATGGATCGTTGACTGAAGCACAGAGCTAGAATTGATTGTTTAATACTTTAGCGCTGAGATTAGAATCCCCAAATCACCATTACTACGGCACTTGATTTGCTGTAGCTGATAGAGACATTTTATTCAACCAGTTTTTCTTTACATTCAATAAACGTGTTGTTAGGATAATCGACAATGTTGTACATTTTATTGACAGAGTTGTTATTCCAGCTTGACATCAGATGTTGCACTCGGACATCAAGGAACAAAAATTTACTACGGGCATAGGCAGGAATTATGCAATATTGTCTGTGAAACACAGCGTACATAAGGGGTTCATAATAGAGTTCGCTGTCAATCACAATGTCGTAAGATTTGGGGAAACCCTAACCAATTCTATCGGAACGACACACCACCCTCAACCGAGGAGGGAAAAGGAAGCCAAATGCCACGTAAGCATCTGTATTAGTTAACAAAGTTAAGAACAACTCAAAGCTTTTTTCCTTGGAACCACTTCAAGTTTTAAGTATTATATTACAATATGGCCGGCTGTATATTTCATGTAACTTTATACTATATAATATGACGCACACAAACATATACACTCATATAAATATACATATGTTTATTCACAGCAAACACACACAGACACACCTATGTATATACATGCATGCAAATAATCAACCGAATTCATAATTATATATTTACAGAGTGTGTCAAAAATAGTTTTAAGACTTTGGGGTTTGATTCCTGACACTAAAACAAAGTAAAAGTTCCATATAAACATATGCGCAAAAGGACATCGTGTTGCTTCAACATTGTAACTCATAACAAATTTTCAAATTACCCTCCCCTTGCTTCTACACACGCAAGAACTCGCCGGATGGAGCATTTCAACTAATCCCACACGGTGTCGAATGTTTTAGCATGTCCCCGTGACAGATTGATGAAGCATCTCTGCATTCTTAATGTCTGCGGCTGTGGCAGGGGTGATATCACCCCCGAAATAATAATAGTGACAATAAAGGAGAATATGCTATAAAACAGAAAAAAAGACGTTTTCAAAAGAACCAAATGTTAAAAATGCTGTAAAAACTTTGAAATGTAAATGTTACAGAAAGTTAATTTAGAACACGAAATACAATCTTTTTGTAAGTGTACAAAGGATATCAGCTTATTAACAGAGAATTACTGGAACAATTATAATTGGAACTTTTAGAAAAAAAAATGGATTTTGACACTGTGAGAATCGAAGTTAAAATAAAGGATGTTTTGATTTAGAAATTATTTTTGAAACAAGACTCTCTGTACTTTACAAAAAGCGACAGAGTGTTTGATAGTGAGGTGATAAACAATGGAGTCTTGTTGTCGACCTTGGAAACCAATCGATGAAAAAGTAAACTGTTTACTCTCGGAACAGTGAAATTGTATGTCACTACGTTCGCAGTATAAAAACAGATACGTCACCAGTTCTGTATATAAAGAGGTGAGCCAACCGGAAGGAAGGAGAGTTACGGGTTCGTCTGTTTACGAATGCAGTCAAACTGAGTGAGAGACGTCAGAGATGGAAAAGAAGGTGTCCGCGGTGTGCTGCTGAGCTGAGGGCGAGAAGCGAATTACCGCCGCTAACATCTAAGTACCGCTACTCCTCCTCCTCCTCTTCCTCCTATTACTACTATTTATTTATATTTTTGTGTGTATTGTATTTTTCAGGTTACAATTGTTTTATGGTACATGTGAAAAAAGGGAGAATTTGCTCCGTAGCAAGAGAGACGTCGGACACGTGTTGCCTATACGAAGGTTCGTGACAAAGCTATTGAATTTAACGTCTTTTGCCATGGTGTCCGTATTTCTGGCAGGAACGGTTTTTGTTGCATGCTGGTAGTACTTTTATTATTATTAATTTTAATTGAATTTATTTTATATAACGTCTTTATGTTAACGTTTTATTTTATCCATAATTTTCATTATCATTTTTATTTTTTATTTTATTTTTATTTATTTATAATAATAATATACCTAGAGAACTAACTTGGGTGATCGACGAGAAACAGTTTTCAAAGTGATATGGTGGTAATTGTTTTTTAAACTGGTTGTCAAATAGAAACATTTACAATCTGCAGAAAGCCTGTTCCTCAAAAACTGAATATTCCCATGGGAATAACATGTAAAATTCATCAGCATATAAGAGATATTGAATTAATATATAAAATGACATTAACTTTGATTGGAAAAGTTTAAGATTGAAAATCATACCTGAGTTGTGATATGGAATTTTCCACAACAACCGTACAAAGCATCAATAACCATCGTTGAAAAACAGACAGAAATCAAAGGTCGAAGTTGTCTCCCCTGTTTAACATCGTTTTCAACTTTCAAAAGATCTGTTAAATTACCCCCGACATTCACTTTAGTTTCTATGTCTTGACGAAAATAACTCAAAATCATCCATCCGAATAGATTCCTGGTTCACGGGGTCAAGTGCCTAAGTTAGCTCAACAACGTCCTAATTTTGTCCAATACACTTTTCTCATTAAGCCATTCTTTATCTTCCCAGATATGGGTTAAATAGTAGGACTGGCTCGGTTCTATAACCTTGGTTGGAAACCAGTCTACGCTGCCACACGGCAGCCTCCTGCGGGAATTCTTTTGTTAAGATAATCATAAATCGAAAAGAGACATGGTCGCCTAAGAGTGCATGGCATCTACTGAATGAATTTAGATGTCATCGAAACTAACACGCATGAAAAGAAACATTTGTTTGCAAATTTTAATGTCGACATAAATATTTGCTGAACCGAAGGGCAATGATATTTTTTCCACCTTACTTGCTCTTTTCGAAAAGTAGATTGTGTGTACATCCAGACTGAGTTGACATAACTGGTTAAATAAACAAGAAATTCAGCAGTTTTTACCGTTGCTCAACGCATAGTAATTCTACGGATTACCATTCGTCTTCGATTTAAATAAATTACCCGTCAACTTAGAACCTAAAAAGGACAACATTTTCACCCGGAGTTTTACATACATTCGTCTGCCTTGTAAGTAAAATGACTTCCTTTTTATATTCATTTTTTCTATTTTTATTTCGTTGTTGTAATTTAATGTTTACTCCAGTTTGTTGTTTTCAATCTTACTTTACTGTTTTTTTATTTAACATTTAAATTGTATAAATATGAAATCCTATTTTGATACTCGTGTTTATAAATAATTCTAGAATGATTGTAAACGTAATTAATCGATTGGAAGTCGTTAAACTGTTAAACGACTTTATACGTAGGTAAGTGAAGAATACCTTACATGGCTTTCTAGATTACACGATATTGTAATTCAACACAATAATTTATTGCATTTTATATATAATTCTGCCTGTATTCACAGCCGTTTCACAATTTTTGATGATTGTTCTCTCTGTGTGTACTGTAAAATCCCATTAAATTCTTACAGGTCCTGTCTCTGTAACTAGGGTTGGGTGGTGTTCATACCAATGTCTTGCGTAAAAGTTGCTGATTTTCCGGTGCAGGTATTGGCCTCTTGTGTCATGCCGGGTTTTATATTCAGTGGGTGCCAGTACCGTGTAAGCTGATACAAAATGGTCAGTTGTTTCAGGATATTTATCACAGAATCTGCATTTTGGATAGAATACAATTTTTCAGTATGTGTGCTTGGTTAGCTTGCTAGTTAACAAGCATGGATCCTGTGCAGCAAGAATAAAACCTTCGGTTTCAGCTTTTAACCCTCCACCACATAGCCACTGGTGGGTACTGGGTTTGTCTATATTTGGTACCGGTAGAATATTGACCATGAAAAGGTTTATCTTATCATCGTTTCTGTATCTTGTCCACTGCATATTCTTTTGTTTTCTTGTTTAAGTTTTATTTTTATTTTTTTGCCGCCGGGTCGGTGTTTACTTGCATTTCTTCACCCACTTGGAATTCAATTTTGAATCTTTTGGGTTCATTTATTACTGATTACAGTTTCTTATTTCGTTCATATTCTTTAACACAGATTATCATCCAGTCTTCTGTAGTTTTCAGGTATCTTTGAAGGCCGATTTTGTAGTTTTATAAGACAGTTTTAACTGAACTAACCTTCTGCTGTCTTCGGATATGGACACGTGCAAACAATCAACATCAACCTTGGGATGATACATGCGATGGCATGTAAGAAACCTTCTCGTTTTGCTGTCCATTCGCTTAATGTCAGCTATGGTTCAGTTTGAAGACGATATAAATTGAAATAGATCTTAATGGAAAAGAAATTAGAATCAGTCGCGGAAGACTTATGAACACTGTGCGAGCATATATGTGTGTGTGGACAGGATGTCTGTTTTGGAATGAATAGCTTGTGTGTTCGGTCAAATATGTTTCTGCATATCTATGATTCAAACAACGTCGGAAAGGTGGACAACGAACGCGACTCTGATAAGACTGTTGGACATCCTTCCTTATATAAGTGTTGGAAAGATCAGATAACCTGTTTTTAAGAGCTGACATAAAGCGTTCTAATTGGTCAATAAACCTAACAAAGGCGCTCTTTTAAAGATTATTGCAACCTATACGGATATTGTTGGATGAATCCTTTGATTCTTGCATCCTTTGTAAATGTGCGGACGTCTGCATGCTCACATCCAGGTACCTTTGTAAGCATATATATGTGTATGTGCTTGAGTGTGTGTCTCTGTGTGTGTGTGTGAGAGAGAGAGAGAGAGAGAGAGAAAGAGAGAGAGAGAGAAGTGAGTTAGATAAAAGATATTATTTGAGAAATTTACATATCTGAACTGCCATTTGATTCTCTTAAAGTTTATTAAATGTTGATTTGAACATTTAATTAACTCTAGAATTTTGATAAATTTGCATCCATAAAGCTTAACTTAAAATCTGAAGATTCTTTTTCAGAATGGAACAGATAGACCCAGATATCCCTGAAAAACAAACAAACGAACTGGAACCAGAAAAAGACCTTGATGCTGAAGTCTCCCTACACATTCCTGATGGAGGTTGGGGTTGGGTTGTTTGCTTTGCTGGATTCATGACGAATTTTACCATTTACGGATTGCTTTCCTCAAATGGTATTCTCGTCCTTGGTCTGGCTGCCATTTACGATGTCAGTATTTCGAAAACGGCAATGGTCGGTTCTATTTTCAGTGGAACCATGTTATGCGTTGGTAAGTTTCCATATTGATGAATTTATAAAAGACTTGTACTATTTTGTTCGTGACTTGAATATTTTTCATTAACCAGGTCCGTTTGTGTTGCTTCTAATGATGTTTAATGCAAGCCATCGCCAAGTTATCATTTGCGGAGGATTCATTTCTGCCGTGGCAACATTTACAAGTTTTTTTGTTGAGCAAGTTGAAGTTATTTACGTTACGTATGGAATTCTCTCAGGTAAGAATGGATTTTGTTTATGATATAAATGTAAATTCTTCTTTCATTATTATGCCATACCAATTAAAGATTTTCTGTTGACAGAGTGAACGTAACTCTTCTCAATACACCAGCACTTTCCTCAGTATTCCTGTATATTTTAATAATGGTGTCTGTTTTGTATGATTGATCGTCTTGCGTTTGATAAGGAACAATACAAGCAAAATTTTAATCTGCTAAGGAAGCTGGATTTATTTGCGAAACGTATTATAATAATCCGGAACTGATTCTGGGAGAAGACCGCTTGTACAGATATAGAAAAAGTATTCAGTAAATTTAAAATATATAAAGGGACGTAAGAGAATATTCTGTTTTCACACGATACTTATTCAACATTCACAGCAAGGAACCTTGAGAAAACTAGAAGTGAATGTATGTAAAACTCCCGGTGAAAATGTTGTCCTTTTTAGGTTCTAAGTTGACGGGTAATTTATTTAAATTAAAGACGAATGTTAATCTGTGAATAAAAACAGGAAAGTAAGAATATATATTCAGTATCTGACTATATTTCTGAGATTTGGGTCTTGTTACTAGATCTAACTAACTGTGCTATGTGTCCTCAAGGACCCAAAGTCTGTGAGTTCAATACCCGGTTAAGGCAGTGGAGAAATTGGAGAGGGGAATTAGCAGGAAATAAATGACATCCATTAAACATGGCACGTGGAACTAGAACAGTCTACACCAGTGAGCGAAATAAAGGCTTCAGTTCGACATTCCAACCACCTGAAGAAGGCCGGAGCGTATAATGGCCGAAACGTTGTAATAAATATGGTGACAAAGATGAGGACAATAATCCTAATAATGTAAATAGTGAAGAATGTATATTGTTTATCGTTGCTGATTTTTTTTCAAGATAATTTTCATAACCCCATTGTATTGAGCCGCCTGCTTTGTAGTTTATATATTTCCCTGCTTCTCGATCCTTCTTTTAGGGATTTTTTCTGGAATGTCATATTTTTCCTGCAACACCATCGTTGGATCTTATTTTAAGAAGAAACGAACTTTGGCTGTGGGAATCTCTCAGAGTGGAACTGGAATCGGTGCAATTGTCCTTAATTATTTCTTAGAACGGAGCATTTCCTTTTATGGTATGAGAGGGACATTTTTATTAATAAGTGGATTGTTTTTAAACTTTGTTGTCTATGGCGCTTTGTGTCGGCCGCTTAAGATCGTCAACATGAAGAACAAGGAGATGGAAGGTCAGTATATTTTCAAAAATATAATTTTCAGTGAAATTTTCTTGAATGTCGTTGTAAAAACAGAATTAAATTATTAAATTATTGACTTGATGCCCTCTCTCACAAGTAATATTTTGTCGACGGGTCTGCCATGATAACTGCTAGTGGTTATGAGAGAAATCTGAGAAAATAATAAAACCTAAAAAGAATGAGATAATTAAAATTTATTTGCAGATCTATTCAATTCTTCATTGGTAAATTCATCGACCATTTTGCTATAAAACGTATCAGCACCACACTCTACTTTCATCTTTTTTAAAAGGTCTTTATTCATCAACACCTTTTCACTTTGAGAATACATAATATAATTATTTACTCACTTTAATAAAGAAAACTATCAATTAAAGGAAGCTGACGTGACCGATATGGTCAAAATAAGATGTCATAATCTGGATACTTCTTCCAAAGCTTGGTTTAGTTCAACTTCCCGAATTCTTCGCTGCTTCATGTTTGCTTTTAAAAATCTTAAAATCTTTTCAAAACTTATTTCAGCTCGCATTTCAGTCCATCCAAATTCAATATTTTTTATAAACATCCAAAGATGAAAACGCCTCCATCTTAAATTTCTTTTTCTCGCAAGCATTAAAAAGTTTCGGATTTAACAAATCCTAAACTTACACATGGTTTTAAATCTTAGCTCAACGGGAACAATAACTTCATCCAAAATGCTATTAAACATAGTTCTTAAAACAACTTCTAGTTCTTGCTGTCGACCATTCTTCTCTTCCTGAACCCGACAAATTCCTCAAACTCAGTTCTGAAAAAGCAACAAAACTGAAGAAAAATTAACATGAAAAAATGAATAAGACTCATAAAAGAAATATATATATATATATATATATATATATATATATATATATATATATATATATATATATATATATATATATATTATAACATTTGTAAAATGATAAACAATGAAGGAAAAAATATCTGATTATTTGAATGAATTTCAGAAAATGCAAAAGTTCCTTTGATTGGTAGAATTTTTGACTGATTTTATTTATTTTATATTTTTTTACTGTCTATTGGAAGTTTTATAGAAATCATCTTATTTCAGAAATCATATTGAAACCTGTGACTGAGTTTCTGATAAAACCGACATCAAGATATTATCGCCAGATTGAAAACATTCAAGTCTTATTATTCCAAAAGATGGGATAGAGATAACGAGATCTACCTCTTTCTCTTTATTCAATAAATGTCCTTATCTCATCCCTTCAAAACCTGAAAAACAGAAATATTTTCATTGGTAAAGAGAATTGGTAAAATGGATAACTATGATAAGAATAAAATAGCAGGTTATTTGGAGGAATTTCAGAAAATACACAATTTCCTCTTTGTTAAATTTGTACAGAAATTCATACTTTGTAAAACTGTATCTTGACAGTTTTATACAAATTTTTTCATGTCAGAAATTAAATTGAAGTCTATGAATGAGTTTCTCTTAAAACCGTAATCAGGGTTCGATCCCGACAAAAAGACGATTGAATATAAAGATCAAACAAATGTAAATGTCAATGTTTCTTTCTTCCTTTCTTTTTTTTTTTTTCATTCACTTCTGACTGAGTCATTTTATAGAAAAATTTAATGAAAAATTAATTGGAGACCTTAAACAATTTCCTTTCAGAAATCAAATTGAAGTCTATGACTGAGTTTCTACTAAAACCTGAATCAAGATTCGATCCAGACAAAAAGGCGACTGAATATAAAGTAGGGACAAACGTAAATATCAATATTTCTTTTTCTTTGTACATTCAATTCTTTCCGAGATATTTTATATTCAATATCCACGGAAAAATAGACTTTTATCGATTTTATAATTATCAATATGGCCGCCTTGCTTCGGAGCTATATCTGGCATTATCGCTTCTCAGATCACTACGAATATCGGGGGTTCGATTCCCATTAGGGCCTTCTACAATTAGAAATGCACTGAATTAAAGAAACGTTTCTAAATAACATTACAAATGCTTCATTATTAATCAATGGTTAACATGTAGTGGTGGAAGGTTACCACAGTTTTCTCTCCCCCCGCCTCAAACTATATATCTATACTCATATTTATTTTTACTTTACATCTATCGGGATGCGCACTCAAAAAATGTCAGTAAAGAAGGGCTCTTTTCTTAAAAAGTAAAAGTTTAAAGAAGCTTCGTTTGATCAAATTAAGACAAGACCCGTAACTTTTATATTATTGATGAGTAAAATATTTTCGATGAAATGTTTCACAGTTAATTTGATTAACCAGGATTTTCAGAAAATGACCCTTCTTAAGTTTTCACATTACTAATTAGTCGGAAGGAGCCGACATTTTTTTCCATGTAATTATCGAAATAAATCAAAATAATCGGTGTAATTATAATTTCTTAAAATTGAACCGAATTATTTAAACTACTGAAAAATAGTACTTCGTGGAATTATTATTATTATTATTATTATTATTAATATTATTATTATTATCTATATATAATTATAATAATAATAATCCCACAAGGCTAGTGGTGGAGATGGCATACCAGCCATTGTCTTGAAGAAATGCGCGCCTGAGCTAGCGCCCGCCCTCTCTAAACTGTATAATTACTGCCTCAAGGAATCCTGTTTTCCTTATTGCTGGAAGTCCTCATCCATTGTTCCTGTCTTTAAGAACTCTGGAGACCCCTCTGACCCCTCTAATTACCGTCCTATTAGTCTCCTACCCCTCTTCGGCAAAGTCTTCGAAGCTCTAATCAATGCCGAAGTGGTTAACCACCTTACATCCCATGATCTACTCTCAGACAAGCAATATGGTTTCCGCTACGCCCGATCTACAGCTGATGTGCTTACGGCCATCACTAAACCCGTCTACCAAGCCCTTCAAAATAACGGTGAGGCTCGTGCCGTGGCCCTAGACATCTCCAAAGCGTTTGATAGCGTTTGGCATGCCGGCCTTCTTCGTAAGCTCCAGAGTTATAGTATTACAGGTCGATTGTTTGATCTAATACAATCATTCCTGTCAAACCGTGAATTGAAGGTCGTTCTCAACGGATTCTCCCCCAGTTCCTATCCCACGAACGCAGGTGTTCCCCAGGGCTCCATCCTTGTCCCCACTCTATTCCTTATTTTCATCAACGACCTTCTTGACGCCATAGATTCCCAAGTTGGCATCTACGCAGACGAAACTACAATTTACTCCTGCCTCAAAAACAAATCTAGTGTCGCTGACAAAACTAACCTGGCCGTGCGTCTTGAAATGGACCTCCAATCAGTTGTTAATTGGGGCAAGAATTGGCTGGTCAACTTTAACGCCTCAAAAACTAAACTACTCTCTATTAATCACCATAGAGATCCTTCCCTGCCCCCCTTTAGAAAGTCAACTTCTTGAGAGCAACTCCCTGCGTCTGCTCGATCTCACGTTGACTGCTGACCTGAGATGGAACAAATACATTGAGTCAATTGCTTCTTCCACCACGAGGAAATTTGGCTCTCTGTGCCGCGCCAGGAATTTTTTCTCCCTGGAATCGATACTTCAAATATACAAATCAACCATTCGCCCTTGCATGGAGTATTGCTGCCATATATGGTCTGGGACACCTTCTGTTTACCTCGGAGTTCTTGACAAGATCCAGAGACGGATATGTAATGTAATTGGCCCTGATCTGGCGTCTCGTCTACAGTCACTCTCTCACAGACGCGCCGTCGCCTCTCTCTCTCTCTCTCTGTCTTTTCTACAAATACTTTTATGGTAATTGCTCCGATGAGCTGCTTTCACTGGTTCACAGACTCCATGAATTCAAGCGCCCTACGAGACTGGCATCCCGCTCCCACCATTACACTGTATAAACTTTTAAATGTAGCAGTCTCTTCTACTCCAATAGCTTCATACCTCGCGTCTCTATTCAAATGTAATGTCAATCGACACCTCCAGTTACCTTGATCTACCCACTATCCTTCTCCTCATCCTTTCTTCTATCACTCCTATCTGCTCTCGCTCCAAATCTTCTGCAACCCCCTGTATCCTAGTGGCTTCACGCCTTGCACGGGGCGTAATGCTTAAAAGATAATAATAATAATAATAATAAACAACAGTAGAACATTATTCAAATGTTTCTTTCGTGGTCACTTTTATGTTGCTTTGTCCAGAGTAGGAAATATAAGTGGACTATTTAGTAAAATGTCAAAAACAATTTCCGAAGATTGATGTCTTGCTGAAAAAGATTATGCAGAAATTTTAGGAAGATTAGATAATTTTGACGACAGCTTAGTTTTCTCCATTGATACTGAAGAGCTTTTCGGCAAGGTTAGAAACATTTCTTAAAAATGCAATCAACTTGTTTTTCAGGCCAACATTTTTGATGACTCTGAAAATCCTGGTCATTCTGTCAACGATCTTCCAGCCAATATGACAAACAAATTTTCAACCAAATGCACTTACCTCCACAAAATTATATTTGATCTTGATGTTATGAAGAATACAGGCATGCAGTTGCTTCTAACCGTTTACTTTTTTTGGGCATGTAAGTTACAAAAATGTATTAATAAATGATAAATTAACAAATTTCATTTCTATTAGTATATACAATAAAAACGGCACAATTCAGACATTGGTCCAGATAAGATCCCTGATGTTTTAATTAAGAACCTTCACCCAGAATTACCTCCAATCTATGCACGTTGCCAGGTGTTTTTTCAGTCTTTAAGAGTGCTTTTGCGCGTTCATCCCCGTCTCGCTACCCCCTGTCAGTGTTAATGTCATTAGCAAACTCTTGTAATAGACAAGGAGGTAGCCGCCCACTTCACCAGAAATAAACACTTGATCGCACTTCTACATCTACTGCTGATCTCAAAATCGTCGTTAAACTCAATACTAGTAAAGAGCTTGACGAGAGCGATTGCCTCAGATATATCCAAGGTTTTTGGCAATGTGTAGTATTGCAACACAAACAGGTAAAGCATCTCTGGAAGTTGGCCTATTTATCAAATCTTTTTTCTCAGTTCGGTCCATTAAGGTCGTTGTGAACGGGTAGTCTTTGGAAGCCCATGACGTCAATGAAGGGGTCTACCAAGGCTCTTCTAACATTCTTTATGCTTTATATTAACATCGGAAGATGTTTGGAGCCGTGTATCTAGTCTATACGCTAACAACTTGTGACTTTTCCAACTACAACTAATCATGCTTGGTCCACGGAGCCGAATCACCCGCATTCCCTCCGTATTCCATTTATTATGAGGACGTTCTACCTAGACAGCTGCTTCCCAAGAACTGCTACTTGGGAGCTTCATTCAACAGTTCAGTAACACTCTGTTAAATAATCTCTATTTGTTGTCTATCGTGTGTATTTCTTTCGTTAAATGGTGGCTTTTCAAGTCACATGACATAAACGGTTCCATAATGTTTTACATAAAACATATAAGGACAGAATCTCAATTTTGCCAAATTTTAGATGATTCTTTCCTTTTATGTCTAAAGAAATTTATCATATTTATTGTACGACGTGAACTTCATTGGTCGATTTTAATATTAGCTCGCTTTCTGTTTTGTTCTGTTTCTGTCCCCATTGGATAAAAAGTTCCACTTTCATCGTATTTATTCATTTTACATACAAATACAGAATTCTGACGTGAATTATTAGATAAACATTGTTATTTTTATTTTTTATATAAGTTTAAAACTATATTACAGAATCGAGAAAAATCCTGGAAGATAAGTTTTTTTATTCAGATTCATATACAATTCTGCCCGTGAAAAAAAGTAAAATAAATGTGGGCCTCAAAATGTCCAAAAATTGAAGATGCATTTCGAAAATGTATAAATATTTTTTGAGTTTTAATTTATTAACAAAAGTTGTATATTCTTCTACATAACAGAATCGCTTAGGGTATATAGAAGATTTTATAAATATGTTGTAATCTATTTTCATGAATTCCCTATATCGTCTTGAATTTTCTTTCATTTGTAATATTTTCACAGCCTGCGATAATGTTTTGATCTATCTTCCGGCAAAAGTTGTGAGTGTTGGACTAACCAGAGAAGAAGGAGCCTTGATAATGGCCATCTACGGCGCAATTATTGGACCTAGTCAAATTGTTGTTGGAATTCTTGGTGACGTATTTCACATCCCTGTAAGCTACCTTCTGATGCCTTCATTGTTTGGCATGTCGGCCACAACCTTAGCTTTTACATTCTGCAACTCCTTCTCATTGTTCGTCTTGTGCGTGTCTCTTTTCGCCATTTTCTATGGTGAGTATTTCGAAGCAAAGCCATTGACATCATTATATTTATAGGAAAAAGTTTATATTTCTTTGAGATATCGCTTCTACCCGTTTTCGGCAACCAGAGTCAATTATTATATTGTTTTTTTCCCTAGGGGTTAAGAACTCAAACCTTTATTCAATCTATTTGCTTATAATGTTCTCGTTCATCTATCCATGTTAAGCAATATGTCACATGAGTTAATACATAATTGTTATTTCTTTGCGTAGCTGCTTTTCCCCGTTTCCATGAACCGGATTAAATTATCTTATTGTTTGTATACTAGGAGTTAAGAAATAAACCCTTTATTCAATTCATTGGAATGTTCTCATTCCACGTCCCATGCGAGGCAATGCCTCATGTTAGTTAATTCTTAGTTGATATTTATTTGCGATGTCGCATCTACCTGTTTCCGGGAACCAGAGTGAAGTTTTATATTGTTTGTATGCTGGGAGTTAAGAACTCAACCTCTTATTCAATCCATTCGCTGGGAATATTCTCATTCCTATGTCTGTACCAGACAATATCTCACATTAGTTAATTTCTACTTGATATTTCTTTGTTATGTCGCATCTAAACGAGTAAATAGTTGTATTATTTGTATGCTTGAAGTTAAGAATTCAACCCTTTATTCTTTTCGCACATAATTTAATTCCTAATTGATATTTCTTTGCAATGTCCAGACTGAATTATTGATCTCAAGACTGCCACATTTGTATACCTTTTCTATCCAGCAGGTCATTGTTCCTCAATGCAATTAATTGGGATTATTTATTGCTGACCTGTATTTAGACAATATGATGTCTTAATTGTTTCGCATAACCTTCACTTCTGTAGCCTTTGATTTTCTCTCGATTAAATCAGTGTATTTCAATTATTTCTTCTCTTAGATATTGAGCTAAAAATAATGCTTTCTAATTTGCAGGAGTCACCTTAACCCTTCGAATGGTGCTTGTGGCTTCCATCTTGGGAGGGAGAAACCTGACCAAAGGATATTCTCCCTTGTGCCTTTTGGTTGGTTTATCTTTCATTATCGGTGCAAAAATAGTAGGTAATTGTAAATTCCTTCAATTCTTATACCTATTTCTTTTTTACGTTGCAAATATTTTTTAAACAGAAACTGGGATATAAGCTAACGTATTTTCAAACAAATTAAGAACTTATTTTATATACATTCTTCTATTTTGCAATCAACAAACTTTGAAACATTTATTTTGCCTTATTATTTTTCGTATTGAAACTTTTCAGGGATAACATTCATTTCGTGTCTGGTTGTTTATTCCCCTCTTTCTTTCTTTTTTCAAATATTCACGTGATTATTGACCGATATGAAAGAAAACTGAAGCATTGATAATTGTTAGGAAGGAGAGGAGCACCATTTGAATCGCAGAATAGCTTTTAGGTTTTTTCACTAATCAAGATACTAGAGCCACTAGATTAGAGCTGAGAAAAATATTGCTTCCCGAATGGCTTTTGATATTAAGAATGTTGTGCCCAAAGGAAAAATCAATGTATTTTCTAAAAGATGAAAGGACGGTCAAGACTGTTAAAATCAATACAGTGTATTAAAACCAATACAGTGTATTGATTTCAAGCAAAATATCCCAAGGTCTAATTTTTATTAGGAATTCTATTCTACTCAAGACAACCATAGTTATTCGTCTTTAGTATTTATTGTCATGTCTGCAAAAGTTACAATCTCCATTTAGAGCTCAGTTAGACAAAATTAAATTAAATATTAATAATAGACACTGGAAAACCAACGAGCCCTAACAGACAATTCTAACAAACCACATAAATATTCTAATAGCTTTTAAAAGCCTAATGCCCTGAGAAAATTATGGAACATTAATTAATGAGGGCGTCCCCCGGGCCTTCTATCCTTCGACCTACATTGTTTCTTATTTTAATCAATGGCCTTCCTAATGTCATCAGTTCCCAACTAGGTATTTATGCTGAAGACATAAACTATTTACTTCAGACTTGATAGTAAATCCTATAAAGTCAAACTGGCAGCTGATCTCACTAATTGACATCAAATCAGTTGTTATCTCTGGCAAGAAATGGCTTGTAAATTTTAACGCCTCCGAAACAGAACTGCTGATTATTATACAGAACCATCTTCCCTACATCAACATGGCTGATGCTAACCTTCAGGAGAGCACCTCATTCTGTTTTCTATGTCTCATTTCTTCTATTGACATTAAGTTGAGTGATTATGTTGAATCAATTGCTATGTCTACTGCTAGGAAAGAAATTCGAATAGTTTTTTTTACTAGCAATTCTCGCCTGTGGCAATCTCTATTTGTCTATAGATGTTGATGGAACCATTTTTTCCTGAACATTTTTTATCTTTCCAGGTTCTTTGTTCGATGCTACACAGTCTTACGATTCTGCCTTTTACTTCACCACCGGTTCTTTATTCATTGCCTGCATCATATCAAGTGGAATCATCTACCTTCAACGAAAAGAGAAATTCCATGAAAAATAACAGATGAATAATTAAAGAAAAAACAAACTTTCACGGTTACATTAAGAATTGTTCTTTTTTATAAATATTACATTCAAGATTTACTTAGATAATTGTCTAAACTCATACCAAAATTGAAACATTTACGGACAGACTCTTACTAATTTCATTACAGTTAGATTTATGGTCCTATACGTGGAATGCACGGTCTATTGGTGCTACTTGTCTAAACTCATACCCAATATTGAACCCATTATGGACAGACTCTTACTAATTTTATTACATTTAGAATTGAAATATGCAGTACGGAAAAAATAATTTTTTTTCTAGGAAACTGATGGTCAGCTATATTTTTTATGAATCCGCAAAGCGGAAATGTAAACAATCTAAAACATTTCCTGAGGGTGAAGAATGTGGAATGTAATTGTCGCCCAAAACTGATTGAGTTTTATAAATGGCAAAGAAATAATGTAAACGGTGAGATTTTTATCGGTTATATTAAAAGATAACAAAGAAATTTGTTTGTCTTCATGGATATAGAAATCATTTTTAAATACAAAAGTGTGTTATCGGGAAAAATATTGTTTTGGTTTAATTGCCAAACGCGGCCGATTGTCGTTAAGGACATGGAGGAATTATAAAAAAAAATGTTGTTGAAGAATGTGTTGTTTTGAATAATTAACCGTTTTGTTTGAAGGTCAGTGTCGTTTGTCCACAATTGGACAAAATAATTAATTCTATGAATATTAAGGAATCGTTAAGTGTGGTAGAAGACTAGAGAAATTCATATAAACAGAGCGATTAAGCAACTCAGCAGTTGAAGTGATAAACGAGACGAAAGAGCAGCGGATGGAGAACCTGCTGGACACCAAGTGAGGTGCTGCCAAGAGAATTCCCGACTGACCTCTTTATTTAACAATGCTTTCAATCCGATCCAATTTGCTTTGAATATTTCTCTTTACTAGATTTCGACTTACGAATAACTATTTTCATCTGTTATAAATATAAACAATTTGCATTTTCTTTACTAGATTTGTATTGTTATTTGCCAAGAATAATTTTTGGCATATTTAATTTGAATTCATCGTTTTTGTTGTCCTTGCCTTTGATATGACAGATCATTGAGTTTTATTTTTAAAATGTTAGCAGACACGTCTGATTAAAATAACACAGCTACAGTTTTCAGGAAGTAAACACACAGAAAACACCAGATGTCAAATAAATAAAGCAATATTTTACTGTAACTGGATACAGACTCTGTTTAAACGTTTAATTGCACGAGATTACAGGATGGTGATTAGAAGGCACTAATGATTGGATAATAATTATTAATATTTTCAGTAGAGTAGGTTGAAGGATTAGAAGAAAATTAAAATTAAATTCTTTAAAAAGTTATGTTTTAAAATGATAAAATGAAATTAAGTACAGTTTCAAGGAGAATTGAACCTAGAAATAACTATACAAGATTCACTGAGATTAACTAACCGTATCTACCTCCCGCTGATAAGAAGACATGATTAAGGTGTTGTCAGAATTTCTTTGTTCCCGAGAAATTAAAATTTGGTAGTTTGTTTACACTAGGCTATCTGTTCAGAATATGTTTGTTTATACAAAATTCTGTACAAAGAACAAAAAAATATATGGTTTATGTAGAATTTGTTTATAGTGACTACCCAGGAAACAATTACCTTTACAAAAAGATACCTCGGGAGACAAAAGATACCTCGGGAGACAAAAGATACCTCGGGAGTAGACAAAAGAAATGCTATATGTTTTTTTTAAACACTGTCTCTTAAGATTAAGATGATTGGTGGGAAAATTAGTGATCAATGTCAAATTTAGGGCGGACAGTGTTTCTATGAACGACAGCCTGTTGGCCAAGAGACAGAAGTGGGAAACGGCCAGGTAGGAGAAGTTTGCACGAAACGGCCCTGAATTGCTCGTAAGCCTACGCGCAATTTACGGACCGGTGCGAAAACAGAGACAGACGCATAACAAAAGAATTAAGGAAGTTTTGATAGAGTATTTGTTGGTTTGAAGAATTGAGGAAGAATTGACTGAAAAAAAGATCTAGAGTTTGGTTAATACTTTAGCGCTGCAACTAGAATCTTCAAATCACCATTCCTGCAGTAGAGTACTTGATTGGCAGTAGCTGATAGAGACATTCTATTCAACCAGTTTTTGTTGTTATATTCAATAAATCTGTTTTACATTTTATTGAAAGAGTTCATACTTCAAAAGTTGCGCTTCAACAACCACCGATACAAACGTTTACCACGGATACAAACAGGAATTACGCAATCTTGTCTGTGAAACACAGCATATACAAGGGTACACAACGTATATAAACGGTTCACACTAAAGTTCTCTGTCAATCCCAATATCGTAGGATTTTGGGGAATCCGAATCAACACTATAGAGACGACACACCAGCCGCAGCCGAGAAGGGAAAAGGAAGCCGGATGAGCCGTAAGGTCGGTATTAGTCAACGAAGCTAGCGTTGCTAGCGACTCAGGATAGATAAAGTAAAGAAGGGACAGAACTCGCAAGCCGAGAGCGTCTGAGTTGAGAAGTGATAGATGTGTTGTCAAACGTGTCAAAAATAAAGAGATGTCATCGAACGTTGAGGGTTGCATTTGGAACTGCGTCAAGTTTTAAGGCTCATATTACAATATGGCGGGATGGATATTTCATGCAACTTTATATTACGTATAAATGACACAAAGACAAACACCCACCCATACCTATGTTTATTCATTTCATGTATATAAGTACATTTGCATAAGTATATGTTTGTATCCAAATCAATAGGCTTCAACAACACCCTAAGATGTAAACGATTATATTAATCTATTGTGTATATATACATACATATATATATATATATATATATATGTGTGTGTGTGTGTGTGTGTGTCTGTGTCTGTGTGTTGATTAGTATTTGTTGTTGCTATTGTTTCGATTCACGACTTTACGACGATTTTATTTATTATCCTTGCTCTTCTTTTCATCCTTGCTCTTCTTTTTATCCTTGCTGTTTTTGTCCGTTTGTTGTGCTTTTCGTTATACAATTGTAACATGTCCGTTTTGAAAGCATTAATAAAGTTTTCTTATTTGACTGAATATTTTAATGCTTTATTAAAACAAAAGCCAAACCTCATGAATAAAAAGCAAACTACTTTTCTTGTTACTAATGTTTATCCAATACAAGGCCCAAAAGCCACTCAAGTTAGAAGATTACCGAATGAGATGTATGTGATATGAACGGAAGAGGAAGAGGTAGAAAGTGAAAATTACCTGGATATGGAGGATAGATAACAATTGACCCTTGAATTGAAGAGGATTCAATCTGTCTGTCTGTTCGCATCTATCTATGTATATATCTATCTTTCCCATCTCGTTGTGGGTAAATATTTTGTGAATATTCACATGTATCTCTCTATTTATCTATGTAATTTATTTTTGGATAAAATTACAAACGTCAAGGGAAGATATTAAATAAAATTAAAATAAATAATTATTGTCCCCTTACTTTCAGAACTAGAAAAATATGTTTGTTTTTTCTCGGCGAAATGTTAAAAGATTTTCTAGAGGCGACATTACAAAATCCAGGAAAATTTCCGTTGATTTTTCTGCAATATCATTTGAGCAACGGTGGCAGAAGTTGAATATTACTGATACGCAAAAAGCAATCACCTTTTTATTTTAATTTTACTCTCTCCTTTTTGATCTCAAGAACTAGAGAGACTTGTTTGCATACCTCAGCATAGACATCAATACATCCAGGATCAAATCAATCAGACTTTTATATGATATTTCAGGAGGCTGGATCAATAATTCCAGAGAATGGTCTTTACTTTCGTCTAATTTGCCTGCAATCCCGTTTGAGCAACGAATGGGTTAATATCATGAGAAAATATACAGACTTCATAATTCGAATTCTAAAGGATATGAATAATGCAAAATGCAAATTAGATGCAAAATGCAATTACGTTTTTTTTTTTAAAAAAAAAAAAACCTTCTATAAATTCTATTCTTTTTAGTATTATTTTGCTGTTTAATTTTTTGTATTTCATGAAGTGATGGTCTTGTTTGTATCACTCTGTATAGACATCAATATACTCACGATCAAACTAATAAGGCTCTAGCCTCACACGGTACTCAGATAAGATTTTTCATTTGAAATTTTCCCTCTATAAATCTGGCGTATGTGATTAATATTCGTGAGAGAAGACGACTTATAATCTACCGAGCGAGTTTGAGCAAATAGCTGAACAAGTTTTTGGATAGATAACACAAAGACGCAATTTATTAAGAACTACAAAGGACAGGAAATTTTGGAGAGCCATGATCGCGAACGTCCTGAAGACCATGTTGGTTGATAGGGTGCAGCTTCTTCCGGTAAAAAGCTTGTGGCTTTAAAATTATCCTTGAGCTAGATTGCTACCCACGAGTAAAAAAACATGACAATTTCTAGCCGCAAACCAGATTTTACTCTTGGGTCGTAACGTACTGCAATAAGCGGGGGATGTTGAGATGAGGTTTAGGTGAGAGGGTGTGGTGAACAGTTTAACAAGTAGCTTCCCTGTACGTCTTTCTCTCTCTCTCTCTCTCTCTGACTTTTCAGGATACTGGTCAGGTTTATAGTTACCATGGTTTTATGTTCCGTCGTCTAGAAAAGCAATTTATCTTCATTCAACAAAATCTCTTTGGGCCGCTCGTGAACGATACTGATAACTATCGATTGAAAATAAACGTTCCGAATTCAATGACTGAAATCGCTACAGGGACACACAGAACATAGAACAAGAAGAAATTAATAGAGTCTAGATTTTGTCAATTGCGCAAAGTTATTCTCCTTTGTTATCACAATCTCTTTGATCTTTAAACAAAATTATTGCGTGAGTCAGGTTGTCTCTATGCAGTGTTTATTTCTATATCCCCATTGTTTATATCTATAGACACTCTGTCCTCGTTATTGAGCATTCTGCCCCCGTAAACATCTGACATTTTATGTAGAAACTATAAATAGAATAAATGAATTATCACTTTCAGAAATTATAGTTAAATAAATTTAGAGAAAGATCCTTTTTCGACTAAAATTCCGTTTTTAATTTTCACCAGAATTAAAATTATGTTTTTATTTTAGGTATGATTACGGCGATATCACGTTGAAATTTCAGCGAACTTCAGCAAAGTCGAGCCTGGGTAGTAGTAGATGGGTAACCGCTTGGGAACACCACGGGATGTAATCTTGGATGTCGGATGGTGTAATGGACAATGATTTCGAAATGAGAAAGCCGGGTTCGAATTTCTGTCGAGTTGGTTACATTCACTTATACGCAAATAAGATTGAGAATGATATTAATTTACTCATTATCCTCCCAGATATGAATTAAATAGGTTTGGTTCTATAGCTTTGGTTGGCAGCCAGTCTACCAGAGAATGTAACGTCAGCCTCCCGCGAGAATTTTTTTGTCAAGTTAATCGTGAATCGAAAAAAGACATGGTCGCCTAAGAGTGTATGGCATCTATTGAATGAATTTAGATAGGAAGTCACCAATAACGACAAACATGAACAGAAAATTTTCTTGGCTTTCTTAATGTTGGCATAAATGTTTGCTGAACCGTAATACAGTGATATTGTTTACACTTCACTTGTTCTTTTCAAAAAGCAGGTTGTCTGCACATCTAAAGTGGGTGCGTCTATGTTAATTTACATAACCGCTTCAAAAAAGACAAGAACAGCATTTTTTACGGATTGCAAAACGCATACAAATTCCATGGATTAACATTCGTTTTGGATTTAAATAAATTACCTCTCAACTTAGAACCTAAAAAGGACAACATTTTCACCGGGAGTTTTATATACATTCACCTGCCTTGTAAGCAAAATGACTTCATTTTTATATTCATTTTTCCTATTTTTATTTCATTGTTGTAATTTAATGTTTACTCCAGTTTGTTGAAAGATTGTAAACGTAATTGTTCGATTGAAAGTCGTTAAACTTTAGTCAGTTTGTTGCAGGTTTATCATTTTGTCTATAGTTGTACTTATACTCTAGAGAATTTGCTCACACTAGTCACGGAAACAGATACTACTTGAATGAACCGAAGTTATAAGTGAATAAATACATAATTGTGACTTCATCGCAAAGAATCAATTAAATAATTTTCTGGCAAATTAAATGAAAATAATTATTGCATATATTCGTGATTTATTTTAATTTTTCATAGTTTAAGTGTAATGTTAAAACACAAAGAATATTTGTAAATAATACTGTCATTTTAAATAACATTTAGTCAGAAAATCTATTTAAAGATAATGAAAAGAATTTTATTCTAAAAAATACAAACTGTCACTAAAAATTACTTGTTTTGAAACAGAAGGAGGAAATTACTGGAAAGTAATTGAAACTCACCTGAAGCGAGCTGAATGTGTAATGCTCTTCATGCCAATGACACTTCCACCGAGCTTCTCTAGGGCATATGACTTCACTGAATTTTGATGTGTTCCTCTCGAATTTATATTTAAACAGGGGTCATCATCGGGGCCTTCCTCTCAACGGCTTCAGTTGCACACCGCCCCCCCTCACTGATGTGAGGCCCCATTATAAGTTTTGTAGATAAACTAGTTCAAATGTGTAACGGCGAAATTAAATTTACAAAAATTCCGAAAAACGGCAAACCTCGCGTTCTGAGAATGCAACGTGAACCTCATTACGCATTCACAATCAGTCATGTCATGCCATCATGTTCGCTGAACCACTCCACGGAGTATTTCGTTTTTTCCATATCCACATAGAACTATTCTCAGTTATTTCTATTAGGCGTTTTATACTTTTGGCCATATTACGCCCTTTGATTCCAATTTGGCCCAGAAATTGGTACAGAGTGCCTGAAACGAAAGCCCTTGCCCCAATTTCCACTGCTCTAACAATTGCATTATACCCCTCCTTTATTAGCTCTGATTTTAGATTTTCATATTTACTAGTTTTATAATCGTGGCTTTGTTTCATCCGGCATTCATATGATACTGTTAATTCAACCAGGATGATTTTATAAAGGTATCATAACATGGAATTATTACAACATCAACTGAAAGTCGTTGAGACAATTATCTCGAGGGACAGTTTCTACACTCGCTTAGTCCCCATAAAAGATATTAGAAAATCTATATAAAAAGACATTAGAAAATCTATATATAAAAGACATTAGAAAAACAGTATAATATATATATATATATATATATATATATATATATATATATATACACTATTCGGTATGATGCCCTCATCTTTATTGTAATATTCACGACGTTTCGGCCATAGTACGCTCCAGCCTTCATCAGGCGATATGGGGCGTTATTCAGGTGATATACATTGGTACATCGAACCGGACCTTTTACTTAGTCCACGGTAGTAGATTATTTTAGTTCCACGTGCCATGCCTTTTCTGGATATCTCAGTCTCGGTTATTTCTCTTTAGTAACTCAACTCTTCAAGTTTTTGTTCACCTCTGCTGTAGCCAGGGATCATGGAAATGAACCTTTACACGTAGATTGACTGTACATCAAATCCTTTGCCTGCGTCGGAGGCCCAAATGAGTCTTGTGACACTTTGCAAAACTTTTCTTGCAGGCCCTAAAAATGGATAAATAAAAGTACTCGAGTAAATTAAATCTTACAACTACAAAAGAAATGATATATATATATATATATATATATATATATATATATATATATATATATTGGTGTCAACGTGGAACCTTAAATTTGCACGGGAAATCTGAGCATTATTACTCATTTAATGTTTACGAAATTTCGTATCCCTTTAATGGTCAGAAAATTTAAATTATCGCAATATTTTAAACAATCCGGACCGGGCATACAAATTGTAGAAAATCTTCCTTGAATGGCAAAATAAAAATGTAACAAAACTGATATATTTCGTGTTTGCTTTTATTAAATTAACTCGGACATACGTGTCAATACAATTTATGCTTATTATGCCATCTTTATTCTTTTTGATACTACGATTAAAGGGACCCAACTGTCTAAAATTTAATGTCTCCTGTTACATTCCTCTTACCAAATGAAAAAAAAAATATTGTTCTCAAACGACAGTGTGTTCCAAAATAAAAGTCCACGTTAGAAGATTTTAGAAACTTTTCTTATTGCTTCTAAAATGATTCTTTAATTATATTTAAATTTGACTTTCTCTCAAATTTCTAAAACAGCAGAAGGAATTAAATATTTCGATAGGGTAGGAATCCAACTAAACGTTTAAATCTTAAAGTTTAAATTGATTCACAAGCAAATTTTAAATAAATACTTTTTTCATTAAAACTTTAATCATTAAAAGAAAAATAAATTTATTCCAGAAATAACGCATTTTGAATTATAAAGCATGAAAAAAAATTCAAAATAAAATTGGCTACTAATTTGCAATATTCCTGTTTTTTTCTCGAACCAAATGTTTAAATGTAAAATTTTGTTGAAATAATTATGACAAATATTTCATATTAATACACTTGCCGATGGTTTATTGCACAAACTACCGATCGAGTTGTATGTCTCATCAGTCTTTTTTTATGGATGAGGCAATATTTGGAAAAGATAGAATAACAAATTTACACAAGCAACATTTTTGTGTGGAAACGAATACCCATGGAAGAATAACAGTTAGACAACAGCATCAGTTTATCATTAATATGTGGGCTGGTATTGTAGGTGACTGTCTTGTAGGTCCATATGTTCTCCCAGCTCGCCTCAAAGCAGCTGTCCACAGGGGCTTTATTTCGAACACATTTACACACCTGCTAGAGGATGTACCCTTGCTTATACGAAGACACATGTGGTTCATGAATGCGGAGGCGACAGCACATTTTAGTCACATTGAAACGCACTGGCTGACATGTACCATGAGAGATGGACAGGTCTGGAAGGAGCGGTTCCATGGCTTCCACGTTTCACGGATCTCAATCCATTGGATTTTTATCTGTGGAGCCACCTAAAAAATGATTTATGCAGTAGACGCTTCATTGACGTGTCATGTGGGCTTAGGAAAAACATTCGACACGTGTTGGAGTATTGACAAAGTTTGTAAAAGTATTTCAGATATTGATGGGTCAAAATCGGGACCCCAGAAGGAAAACACGGAACACGGATTAAATGTAAGAAAGATATATTAACAACAGGTTACAGAGATAGTGTAAGCGGAGCTTACAAAATGTTAGTGTCCAATACTGGTAGTCGTACGCGGCTCTCTCTGACTCTCTATCTCTCAGTGTAGAATGTTGTGTCGCATACTTAATATAGACCTGGAAGAGTCTATTGTGTGGGTAGTTCCGGTCTCACCATAGATATATATATATATATATATATATATATATATATATATATATATATATATATATATGTGTGTGTGTGTGTGTGTGTGTGTGTGTGTGTGTGTGTGTGCTTATGTGTGTGTGCGTATGTGCGTGTGCGTGTGCGTGTAAACGCCATTAGATTCTCTTAAAATCACTTTAGAATTTTTTGGAAAATTTGTATCAAAAATCCTTAACTCTACATCTGCAGATTCTTTTCAGAATGGAACAGACAGACAAAGGTATCCTTGAAAGACAAACAAACGAAGTGGAAACGGAACCAGAAACAGAACCTGATGCTGTAGATTCACTACACATTCCTGATGGAGGTTGGGGTTGGGTCGTTTGCTTTGCTGGATTCATGGTGAATTTTACTATTATCGGATTGCTTTCCTCAAATGGTATTCTCGTTCTTGGAATGATTACCATTTATGATGCTTCTATTTCGAAAACAGCCATGGTCGGTTCTATTTTTGGTGGAGTCATGTTATGCGTTGGTAAGTTTCCATATTGATACATATCTAAAAGACTTGTGCTATTTTGTTCTTGACTTCAAAATTTCCCTTTTATCAGGTCCGTTTGTGTTGCTTCTAATGATGTTTAATGTAAGCCATCGCCAAGTTATTATTTGCGGAGGATTCGTTTCTTCTGTGGCAACCGCTGGAGGCTTTTTTGTTGACCAAGTTGAAGTTCTTTACCTTACGTATGGAATTCTCTCAGGTAAGAATGGATTTTGTTTATAATATAAATGTAAGTTCTTCTTATTCTTCTCTCATTATTATACCGTACCAATTAAAGATTCGCAAAAGACAGAGTGAAAGTAACATTTCTCAATACAACAACACTTTCCTCAGTATTATAATAACGGTGTTTGTTTTGTATGATTACTCGTCTTACGTTTGATAAGGAACGATACAAGGAAATGTTTGATATTATAGAAATGCTTGATTTATATGCGAAAGGTATAAAAATAATTCAGAACTGATACTGGGAGAAGACCGCTTGTATAAAGATGGAAAAGACATTCAGTAAATTTACAAAACTTATAAAGGGGCGTAAGACAATATGTCTTCACACGAGATTTATTCAACCTTTACATCAAGGGTGTCTTGAGAAAACTAGAAGTCCTATCAGGATTTATTATCGGTGGATACAATCTTAACAGCATAAGATATGCAAATGACACAGTTGATAGCAGAAACAGAAGCGAAACAACAGAACCTTCTACAGAAGATAGGGAAGGAAACCGTGAAGAAAGGGATAAGTATCTGTTGAGAGAAGACAAAATGTACGGCTGTCAGAAAATGGAACAGTCCAATGCTGCGAATTACGAAATGGAGGCAACAAAATCAAGCAAATCCAAATATTTAAATGCATGGGAAATATTTTAAGAGGGGAGAATACGGCAAACATGTTAGAAGCTAAGAATTCTGAACTGTTATAACATATCTGTCCTCCAATATAGCAGTGAATGCTGCACAATGTCCTTACAAATAAAAAAGTGATTTGAGGCAAAAGAAATATGTTTCTACTGGAGGATGTTGAGAATAGCATGGACCGAACATGTGAGTAATGAGGACGTTTTAAGGAAAATGGAAATAATAAAACGCAATTATATGTACAATCAAAAATAAGTAATTGAAACCTCTAAGATAATGAGAAAGGAAGGCTTAGAAAATTTGGCACTCAAAGGACGTATTGAATGAGCGACAGAGGAAAGTTTTCACCTAATGAGCTTGTGTAAATGGATGGTGGAACGTGGGGTGGGAGAAATGGTAAAAGGACAAAGTTTAATAAGTGACAAAATGTTTGCTCTGACATCGAGTGTAAAATATACACGTGTTTTTATGTGTGTATGTTTCTATGTGCGTACCTTTGATAGTCGCACCTTAATGTGGTGGAGGGGCTTGCGTGGTCCAATGACTGTGAGAGCGATGTCGTCTGGAGTTTTCAACTCGTAGTAGGGCCATCCTTGGCGACAACGTCGAATACGAGGTCCCAGGCTAAGCGCGACCAAGCCCCAAAACCCTAACAGTGAAACAAGCGGATGATGATTACATCCGATCTCAAAGATTGAACCAGCGGATGAAGAGGGTTACGCTTGATGTCATACAATCATTACAGACTCATATCATGAAGCAATATGTAATTTGATTTTCCCTCGGCTCCCAAATCGACGACTGAATTCTTTTCCTCAGACAAGAAATACAGAGACTCCTAATATGAGGCTATACTTAACAAGCCATTTCCCTGGACAACCAGATCGACGACTGAATTCTATTCCTCAAATAAGTAATACAGTGACTTGTATCATAAAACTATACTTAACATAGCTTTTTTTCTGGACCTCGAGTCGACAATTGAATTCTGTTCCCCATACAAATAATTCAGAGATACTTATCATGAAGTTATACATAACATACCTTTTCCTTGGACGACCAAATCGAAAACTGAATTCTCGTACTCATACAAACAATATACAGACATTTACCATGAGGCTATACTTAATGTGTTTTTCCATATACCCGCAAATCGATGAATGAATTCTATTCCTCATGCAAGCAAATCAGAGACTCGTACTATTAAGTTATACTTAACATGATTAGCCTTCGACAACCAGATGGCGACTAAATTTTATTCCTCATACAAGCAATACAGAGACTCCTAACATGAGGCTATATATAACATGGCTGATCGATGACTGAATATTTTTCCTCAGAAGGGCAATACAGTGATTCGTAACATGCGGCGATACTTCACATGATTTTCCCCTCAAATCAACAACTGAATTCTGTTCATCAGACAAGCATTTGAGAGACTGGTAACAACAGGCTATACATAATATGCCTTTTCACTGGTCCACTCTATCGACGACTGAATTTTCTTCCTCATACAAACAATATACAGACACTTATCATAAGGCTATACTTAACTTGCCTTTTAACTGGACATCTAGATCGATGACTGAATTCCCACGTCCATTACAGAGACTCGCATCATGAACTTACTATTCCGTAATAATTCACATTTAAACAACTAAAACGTTTCCATTTAATTCAATTAAATTACCTTGATTTATTTTATAAATTGCGCAATACCTGAATTCCAAGATCATTTTCATAACTACATTTCCTTTTAGGGATTTTTGCTGGAATGTCATATTTTTCCTGCAACACCATCGTTGGATCTTATTTTAAGAAGAAACGAACTTTGGCTGTAGGAATCTCTCAGAGTGGAACTGGAATTGGTGCATTTGTCCTTAATAATTTATTAGAACGAAGTATTTCATTTTATGGTATGAGAGGGACATTTTTAATAATAAGTGGGTTTTTTTAAACATTGTCGTCTATGGCGCCCTGTGTCTCAGCCGCTTAAGGTATTATGTACAGTATTTACATTAGTCGGACTATTGTCCTCATCTTTGTCGCCATATTTGTCACAACGTTTCAGCCGTTGTACGCTCCGGCCTTCTTCAGGTGGTTGGAATTTCGAACTGAACCCTTTATTTCAATCACTGGGGTAGACTGTTCTAATTCCACGTGCCATGTTTGATGGATGTCAGTTATCAGTTATCTCCTGCTAATTTTCCCTCTGAAAGTTCTCCACTGCCTTAACCAGGAATTGAACTCACCTTCTTTGGGTCTGTCACTGGATCTAACCAACGCCTTTATCCACTGTGCCATGTGTCCTTGAGGACATCTGGGTATGAACTTCTGAGTATTATAAACCTAATGTTTTCAGCATCATTTTTACCAGTGCTCATATTGCAATTTTTTGCTGTTATCATTGCATGTCTTTACCAGAGTTCATATTGCAACTTTGTTATCATTGCTTTTCTCTGGCACTCCTTATTACTGGTTCCCATATTGTATTTATTTCTATGCTTGGTCGGCTCAGGAGATTTTTTTGTGGCCTAGCATATGTGCTGATTCCTTAAGTTTACGAATTTTCCAATGGTGTTCCCTGTCTATGATCTCAACATGATCCCACAGGGGCGGTGATCTCCTTCTCTCTCCATATGTGGTCAGCCACGCCTGATTTTTCTACTTCCCCTCGCGTTACAGCTTTCTGGTGTTCTTGAAGCCTTACCTTGAGGGGCGGCCTGTCTTCCTTTTATATTCCTTTCCGCAGCTGCATGGGATAGCGTACACACAGTCTTTAGTCATGTTCCTCTCTATGGGGGGTCTCACTCGTGAGAGATACCTGCGAAAAGTTTGTCACGCTTTTGAAGGTTGTCCTGATGTTATATGGACCGCAGATCCTTTTGTATTTTCTCTGATAACCCCTTCACATAAGGCAGGCAGACTGTTTTCTGAGTTGTTGTTGTCCTCCTCCTCCTCCTCCTCTTTTTACCCGCCTATCCCAGTTTTTGGGGGCTGCTGCCATGTACCCAGGGTAGTTGTTGCGTTGTATAGATGTACTAAATTATACTGACCAATTCCTTATCTAACGTCTCTGGATCGCCACTTATGACTTTTGCTCGATGTTGTAAGCATCGGACGATCCCTTTCTTTACGCTGTATGGATGGTGGGAGTTGAAATTGAGGTACTGTCCGGTGAATGTTGGTTTACGGTATACGGATGTCTTGAACCCATTCTTCTGTTCGAGATATTAGTTCTTTGTGACATCCAGGAATGGGAGTGAGTTGTTTAAAAATCTTTCTCCATTGTGAACTGGTATCGAAGGTCTTATTGAGTTCACATGGTCCAGAAGAACTCTGGACTTCTTCCTACGGACCAGAGTATGAAAAATCTACGTACCGTAAATATAGTTGGCTTTAGCATATAAACTCTGGCACGAATATCGAACCATCTGACATTCCTACACCGATGCATATACCTCGCCAACTCATCCCTTCAGGCTTGGCACCAAGACTTCCTATCAATTCAAGGAGAGCCTCATCCTGTCGATAGAGAAAGGGACACGCCCTTGTCCGAGAGAGAATCCAGTACAACCGTTGGATGAAACATCGAGTACATGCTCATTCTCCCAGACGCTCGAGGATCTCTTCAACAGAATTACCAATGAAGAAGACCAGAGAAGGATCCAAAATGACCTGGATAAATCCTTCAGACATGAATTTGATGTAGTCAAGGCTCGCCAAGTGCAAAAAATAAATAGATTGAAAGATCAGAAGGTGACACACAAGGTCCATCACCCACCAGTGAAAGCAGTAGTCAACATCAGCCAATATCAGCTGAGTGCCTCTGAGGAGTCAGTATTGAATAAGGGTCTCAACTTCGCCACAACCATCAGGCGGGTGCCATACTTGGACATCATTGCCAGAGTAGAGGAGGTGGCCTTGAACATCCCTCAGGCTCAGGCGGATGAAATGAGATGGAAAGTGAGACAGGCCTTGGAGAGAGCCAAGCTGCCCAGGTCTAACATAACAAAACTGGAGAGACTGGCGATTGAATCACTACAGAGGAATGAGAACATCATCATACTACCGGCTGACAAAGGTAATGCGACTGTAGTGATGGACAAACCGGACTATACAAGAAAACTGGAAGACCTCATTAGCAATGGTAGCTACAGCATAGTGAAGAAAGATCCTACTATGAAAACGGAACGCAAACTGTCACAGATCCTAATCAAGAACAAGGATCACTTCGCACCCAAGACGTATAGGCAGTTATCGCAGCGTTACAGCAAGTTACCTCACATATACGGTCTCCCTAAGATTCACAAAGACGGTATTCCACTCAGGCCGATTGTT